CGGCATGACTTATACGTGCTTACAAGTGCGCCTCACTTTTCGTGTCAAAGTGCGCTGTTCATGAGTGCTGCCTCTTTTTTCACGCGACACGTGCCGATGATTGCAACTTCAATAACTCATTTGACTATCAAGGACCTCTCAAGTAAGCTTCATACTAGGCATAGAGACTATTGTGTTTGGCTCCTACTATCACACAATGTTTTAACGAATTCTGCCGGTTCAGTAAAAATATCGCTCTCAAATTTGCCCCTTTCTACGCTCGGCGGTTCCCTGCACGCGGGGGCGGGGCGCGCTTTTCCGGGGGCCCCTACCCCCGGACACGCGCATAGCCTAACGGCTCATTTATGTGTTTTTGGCAAAGCAGGGAAGCCAATCACACATCCGGTCTTACGCAGTTCCTTGTATTAAACATACGGTATGTTACATACCACGAGCGGTAACGAACCGCGGCAGGGTGAAGTCGGTGTAATCGTCTCCATGTAGAGGAGCGATTTTTCTCCTCACCACCCGTGAACTATCTCTTTTCTTGAGCAGCACTGGTAAGAGGATCCGCTTGGCAATATCCTTGCTTGGGCGTCATATTATGAGTGCCCAATCTCTGCAGAGTGATTCCTGGCGCGGTCGTGCCGGTAGAGTGGCGAGGAACGTGTTCGTTCAGGTGCGTCACAACTGTTGAATTCTCATCAACAAACTCTTCAGCTTAAGTCTTATTCGTAATGTCCTATACCTTCGGCCTTCTCTCGTTTGCCATTGTGACGCAAGCCCTGGGACAATCTGATTTCCCTTTCCAGGTCGTTGCTGATTACCCAGCGGGTTGTCATGGTGGGCCCGGCCCAGGGGAGGGAAGCAACATTACCGATCTCCTAAAGCCGTCCTGCATTTACAACATGAAGGGCGTCACATCTGAAGGAGTTATTAAAGAGGCTGCCGGGATCATTCTAAACACCAATCGGCCTGGGCATTATGGCAGCATGCATGTTAAGGTCACCGTGTCCAAGAAGCCTGGCACCAAAGGCGGTGCGCTGGTGGAGACGTATGGTTGGGCTCACTTGAGTGTCGGTGATGAAACTCGAGACTTCTGGTGGAACCCAGCCCCAGGGAATAATGCCTTTCTCCCTGGAGTGCCCATCCATATTGCTACTATCGACTACGGTTCTATCCCTAATGCTAACGTGAGAACGTGGACTTCGTGGCATCGTCTAGAAGGTACAGCTGATAGCAGAGGGTTGAGTCTGGAAGCCAGTGAGAAAACCTTCTCCAATAAACGCTATCCTGATTTCTTCACCGGACAACAGATTATCGCAACGAAGAGGAATGGTGGTTGGGACTATATGGTTAAGTATCGATTCCGAGCTTATCCTGCGAAATTTAAAGAGTACATCAAGT